TTGGGGTTAATTCTTAGGTCCTACCACCACTCGGGAATCTCCAAGCTGTGTCATCTGTGCCGTCAGGGTCGCTCAGTCCGCTGCCAGACCACAGCTCCGTGTGTCTCCTTTTTTGGTATTTTCATGCAAATTCTTCTGCTAGTTGGGGTTTAGTCCACTTTTGTATCCTTCCCTTCAAGGCTCAGAGATCCAAGATCATCTTCTGTGTCTGTGCTAATTGGTTTCCCTTTTCTTTGTTGAAGAGCATCTGTGCAGTCCTTGTGCCTAGTCCACCATCTTGCCGGAACTCCCTAGAGCAATTTCTTGATACTGTCCAAAATGTACCAATGTAGCCCCACTAAACGATTTTAGGATGAGCCAATACAATGTGCTCCAGATACTCAGTTTTCTGTTCACCTGGTTTAATATAGTATGCAAATCATAACTTATAAAGAAGAATATCAATATTTAATTTATGTTGTAGTTAGGTGCCATCAAGTGGGTTCAAATTCATAGCAACCCTATGTATAACAGAAGGAAACACTGCCTGTCTTATGCCATCCTCATAAGTGTTGCTGTGCTTGAGCTCATCGCTTCAGCCACTGTGTCAATCATCTTGTTTAGGGTCTTCCTCTTTTACTGACCTTTGACTTTACCAAGTATGGTGTCCTTCTCTAGGGTCATATAAAAATTTAAAGCTAATATTTTAATAGTTATTATGTAGTAACAAGTTTAAAATATCTCTCCCTGATAAGTGTAGAGAGAGTATCTTTTTCTAGATGACTAGCTACATGGACATCCATATGCCTGGGATTGGTATCTCCTTATAAAATTGAAGAACTGTACTGCAAGTGTGTTCAACTAAGTACGTTTTTATACTTTTGCTTGAACAGAAGAAATACCAAAAATAAGATAAAACTTGAAATCTATTTTGAGTTTATCTGGTAATATAGACAATTGGGTAGTAAATTTCAGAAGTTTTACAATATATATACCCACTGTTATTGAGTTTATTCCAACTTCTAGTGATCCATATAGGGTTCCCAAGGCTGTAAATCTTTACAGAATCAGCCTGTCTCATTTTTCTCCTGTGGAGTAGCTGGTGGGTTTGAACCACTGACATTTTGACTAGCAGCCAAATGCTTTTGCCACTACCCCCAGAGCTCCTCTTGCTATATATAGCAAACCGAAGTGTGGACTATAAATATAACTAGTTATCTATGGCTATAAAATCAATTGAAGTAAGACATTCACACACTGCCTCACCTTGAGAAGTAACACTTTCTATGACTTAAAAGATAAAATATTTGTGAAATATGCAACCAAAGTAACTAAATTAAGTGACAGATTATTTAAAATCAGTAGTAATTGGGGAATAATAAAGTTCTTGGCTCCTCTTGGTCTCTATATGGAAAATTGGCTGGAAACCTTCTAGACAGAGATTAATTCCTATGATACAATTGAGATAATTTGTACAATTCTGATCTGCATATAAAGGGATACGAGTTTTCATTTTGTTTATGGAAAAAGTGTATATGTTTAACTTATTCAGAAGTGCTAATAAATGGAAGGAAATAAATGAAATTAAAAGAGGATTATGGTATATATACCCTTGTTTAACCTTTCTGGAGGTTCCCTGTTCACAGTTCTGTGAAAAGACCGTTTATACCAATTCTGATCTCAAGGGAGAACCATGGAATGGCTTCTGTATAAACATGTTTCCTTGGAAATTAATGCTGCTTTCTGAATCTTGCCCCAAAAGTTAAAGCCAGGTATGAAAAAGTTATTATATGAATAACATATATCATATGTAAAAGTTGAAATAACATATGAATATTCCCAGTATAGTGACTGATAGATAATAGAATTTCAATAAATGTTCCTTTTGCTCTTATTTGCTACAGTGAGCTATTTTAATAATAGACACAACAGTGCCATTATGTATTAGAAATTTAATAAATCAACTGTTTTCAAGTCATCAAAAATTATAAAGGAGCAAGAAAATGACAATACAATTTAAAACATCAAAAGGAGGATGTATCTCTGTGTTTTTGGATGGCAGTTTTTTTTTTTTTTTCTCCCCTGAAATTGTCAATTAATCATAAATGCTAATATGGCTTCAGAATTTTGTTAAAGGGAATTCACAAATGGTTAGACCAGTACATTGGCAGGGAACTTCCAGAAATTTAAGCTAGATTTATAAGAGGATGTAGAATGAGGGCTATCATTGCTGATATCAGATGAATCTTGGCTGAAAGCAGAGAATACCAAATGAAGTATACCTGTTTTTACTGACTATGCAAAGGAATTTGACTGTATGGATCATAACAAATTATGGATAATGTTGTAACGAATGGGAACTACAGAACACTTAATTGTGCTCATGCAGAACCTGTCCATAGACCAAGAGGCAATTGTTTGAACAGAACATGAGGATACTTCATGGTTTAAAATCAGGAAACGTGTACATGAAGGTTGTATCCTTTCACCATATTTATTCCATCTATATGCTGAGAAAATAATCTGAGAAACTGGACTATATGAAGAAGAATGCAGTATAAGGATTAGAGAAAAACTCATTAACAATCTGTGATATGTGGGTGCTAAAAGGGCAGGAAGGACACATCTTCTGACCTCCTTTAACCCCACAAGAGGAAGACAGAATCACCATCAGTAGCCCAAGGCCTATTCCTGCCAGGCCACTCATGCTGCCTTCCTCCAGCCCTTTCACCAACCCTGACACCAACTGTTTCTCCTGCAGCACTCACCACCTTTCTTGTGGGTTCGATACAGAACCACAGTGGCCATACAGAACTGCAGTGGCCATACAGAACTCACAGATTATGGGTTTTTTTTTTTAGGGAAGCACCAGGCTACAATTCAAGTTCAGGAAAAATGTTCAGTCTCTCTCAGCCCCCTGTCTCTCAGCCAACAGTCTCTCACAGTCTCTCTCCCAGCAGTGCATGTCCCTTGGTGCCTCACTCAGCAATGTGTGTCTCTTGCATCTCTTTCCCACCAGCGCATATCCCTCAGGAGCACATGTCTCTTTCAGCAGCACACCCTTCTTAGCCAGGAGTCAGAGAGAGACTTCTGCCTCTAGGAGGTCTCTTTTTGAGTCTGGCAGAGTGACCCAACTAGCCAATCATAACATCAGAATTCTAAGCACCTCAGAGAGCGCGAACTTCCCAGAACTTTGCTTTGTGCCACGCCCAACAGAAATACACCAGGTGGATAACTTTTACAATCAGGATCTCCTCAGTTGCTCACAGCAAATTCCACCATGGAGTTTACAAAGACTTACGGGTAGAAAAGCCACACTAAGAAATTTACTACACTGCAGTGGGTGACACAACTTGGTGAAAGTGAAGAAGCCTTGAAGCACTTACAAATGAAGAACAGAGACTGCAGCCTTCAGTTTGGATTATACCTCAACCTAAAGAAAACAAATGTCCTCACAATTGGAGCAATAGGCAACAACAGGATAAATGGAGGAAACATTGAACTTGTCAAAGATTTCATTTTACTTGGATTCATAATCAACACCCATGGAAGCAGCAGTCAAGAAATCAACATATCACATTGGACAGATCTGCTACAAAAGACTTCTTTAAAGTGTGAAAGAGCAAAGATGTCACTTTGAGCACTAAGGTGCACCTGACGTAAACCGTGATATTTTCAATAGCTTCATATAGATGGAATAGCTGTATAGTGAATAAGGGAAACTGAAGAAGAATTGATACATTTGAATCATGGTGTTGGTGAAGAATATTTACTATACCATGGGCTGCCAGAAGAACAAATTTATCTTGGAAGAAGTACAGCAAGACTGTTTCTTAAAAGTGAGACTGGTGAGACTACATCTCACAAACTTTGAAAGTATTATCAGGAGGGACCAGTCAGTCACTGGAGAAGGATATCATATTTGGTAAAATAGATTGTCAGTGAAAAAAGGGGAAGACCTTCAATGAGATGGATTGACACAGTGACTGCAAAAATGGACTCAACCACAGTAACGATTGTTAGGGTGACACAGGACTGAGCACTGTTTTGTTGTTCTGTTGTACACAGGGTTGCTATGAGTTGAAACTAAATTGACACCTAACAACAATGACATGACATCTAAAATGAACATTGGTTATCTCTGTAATAAAAATAAAACTGAAAAATACTTATAAAATAAGTAGTTACAAGAGTGTTAAAACTCATGAGAAAAAACTCTCAACCTTTCAGATTTCTCCTGGTGTCTACAATATTATTGTCTTATCCTAGTGTTTGGATGTATTGGGATCCTTGTGTTCATGACGACAATGACTGACCTGAAGTCCTAGGGTGAATAATAGATTGCTATTTATTAGGAGCTCTGGTGGCATAGTACCTAAGGCATTTGACTGCTAACCAGAAGGCTGGCAGTTCAAACCTACCAGCAACTCCTTGGAAGGAAGGTTGGACGATCTACTTCCGTCCTTAGTGATACTGCCTCAAAAACCCAAGGAGGGGTTGCTATGAGTCAGATCCAATTCAATGGCAGTGAGTTAAGTTTTTGGTTTTGTGTACTTTTGGAAAATAAATATTGTTCCTTAATTTCTATAAACTGACCAGTCTTATATATCATATTGAAAAATCATTTCAAATTTAAGCAAAATTAAGAAATGCTCAAATATAAAATTAATGCTTATTCTGAATCTTTTCTTCTGGAGAATTCTCAGTAAGAGGTTTGCTTATTAACATTTTATATTTAAAAGTAACTATTTTTCTTTTAAAAAAGAATGTGCTCATTGCTATTACTCTGAGAGATAATGCTTTAAATGGATGAATGTGCTAATTTAAATAAAAGACACCATCAAAAATTGCTTTAAGCAGACTTCTGTAGCTTTTTTTTTCCCCTGTGGTAGCTAATATGAGCATTATATTCTGTAGTTCTTTTGAAACAATCAGACCAGTTCATCTGTAATTCCCTGTCCTGTTTTTGAAACTTTACTTCTCAAAACTATAGGGCTAAAATGTGTACTGTCTTATATGTAATATCAATGTGGAAACATAAATTCTTAAAACCTTTGAGATGAGATATCTAAATATTACATGAGTCCCCAAACAAGTTTTCTAAGAAAGACAAAGAAGGGCACATTTTTGTGTTGGGCCATTATTTTTGTATTTGTATTTTTCCTAATAAAACAAAGAAACATATAGGATTTTCTAAGACTAAATAAACTTTGTTTAATGTAATTCTTCTATACTTTACACTGTAAATTGACTGGGAAGTTGTCAACTAATAATATCCCTCAAATGTGTTGAATCTTTTACTCAAATAAAGTACTAATGTGGTAATATAGCAATTTTGACCTATTAACATTTAATATTGTTGTTATGTGCCGTTGAGTCAGCCCCGAACCATGGCGACCCCTCCTTGGGTTTCCGAGGCAGTATCATTATGGAAGTAGATTGCCCCATCTTCCTTCCGAGGAGTGGCTGGTGGGTTTGAACCGCCAGCCTTCTGGTTAGCAGTCAAGTGCCTTAGGCACTACGCTACCAGAGCTCCCAACATTTAATACTAGATGAGTAATTTTAATTTCCATGAACTCAAATAGGTGCTGTTTTCTGTTTTCCAGTAATTCTGGAAAGTTGAATCCTCTGCAATTATTATTATAGCTTAAAAAAAAAAACTTTTAAAATGTAGGATGAGATGATTTTTTATTAGGCACTGAGTTTGATCGTATGGCTACCAATGATCTCTTGTGACTCAGGTTTTCCGTTTGTAAAATGTAAATTAAAATGACATAATTAGTGCAAAAACAATATTTTGGTGAAAGATAGTATTGAAAAGAAAATCATTAAAATTTATCACATTGAAGAGTTATTTAGTAGGGAAGATATGTTTTCCTGGTGTTATTTTTATTCCAATAAGTTAGTGTTATATTTCTGCTTACACTTTGAACAGTTAAAAAATGTTTCCCATGACATCCACTTCAAAAGAGAGTACTGACCATAAATATTGACATGTACTACCTCTCAAAATTCTATAGCTAGTACAATAAAAGAGAACAACATACAATAAAATAATGAAAACACAGAGAACTGGAAGGGAAGGAAATTTTCTACAAATGGAAGGCAGATGGGATTGTCTTATTGGAAAATCAGTGCAGGAAATCACTGTTCAGGTAAAACACAAGAGCAGACTACAGTGTGGATGGAAATTATTGCTAATGGAAAAGTCCAGTCAAGATCATATTTTCAGAGTGATGAATACAGAGTATAACAAAGGATCTAAAGCAAAATGATTAACCGAAAGACTTTCCCAGAAATGATTGGATTGGGGTTTTGTTATCCTCCTTTTCTATTCACGCAGTTGCATTTGCCCCAATATCAAACCCCTTACACACACACACACACAAAATATTTTAAAGCAATGAGATATAAGAAACTACGGCTCCTAATTTATGTAGAGGGTGTTGTGCCATAGAGTATATGCCTGTTTTGTTTTGGTTTTGAATGAGAGAAAAGAGTAGTGTACTAAACTGTTGTGTACCCAGACACTCTAAAATAAAGCTTGACAATTTTCTGCCCATTTCTTTCTAAAAATTTGTGAAAAGTAAATAAATAAATAAATAAATAAATAAAATGAGTGGATATCTGAGCCAAAAGTAAAGCAAAACTAACTAACAAACAAAATACTCTATGCCAAGGAATAGGCTTTGGTGGGTTAGGGGTAGAATTCTCACCTTCTGTATGAGAGACTGGGTTCAAGTCTTGGGAAATGTCCCTCATGCATAGCCCTCAGCCATCTGTCAGTGGAGTACTACATGTGGCTGTAAAGCTGAAGAGGTCTCAACAGTCACCAGACTCAGATGGACTAGGAAAGCCTAGTGATCTACTTTCAAAAAATTAGCTGATGAAAATCCTGTGAATAGAAACAATCCAATTAGCAGCCAGTCATGGGGATGACATGGCCTGGCAGAGTTTTGTTCACTTTTGCACAAGGGCCTGGTTTTGCAGAGTGGGTCCTTTATCATGGCAACAATAAGCCATGAAAGAACAAAATCTCTTTAACAAATTTTCTAGAAAAAGAGAATTGAGAAAAAGGTAGAGTATGAAATAATCAAAGAAATAATAGAAGAAAATTTTCACAAGAAAAACAAAACCAAAAAAAATGAGTCTTAAATTGATAAAAAACCAATTAAATTTAGAACAGGATGAAAAAGCAGATAAAGTTAGATAGATAGATATGAATCCTCATATTTCAGGATACCAAGAAAGAAAACATACTATAAAAAGCCTTACCTAAAAAAAAAAAAAAAAAAAGTATTCAGATTCTCTCAAAGAAAAGGGAACCAAATGGCATCAGATTTTAAAATATCAAAAGCGTGAGACAACATCAGAATAATGCCTTCAGGTATAAGCAAACATAATTTTAAGTTTAAAAGAAAGGTTAACAGGAAATATGTTTTTTGCCAGGCATTCTTTTGGAACAAAATGGGATCTATTATCTAAGAGTAGCTAGGCCAAATATGTCATGAAAAAACCTTTCAGTTCTGTATCCTTAGAAAACAGGTTTTTTTTGCTCTACAAAAAGAAGGAAGTTCACTTAAAACCCCTGGGGGTGTAGAAAATAACATACAAAAATAAATAAATAAATAATAGCTCATATATGACAACCAGGGATGCAAACAATATTTTAATATTTAAAAGTGTAATAAATAGCACTTAAAAGAGAAAAAGAAATAGTCAAAAGTGGTACGAAGTGGGAAGAAGAGGAATAGAAGCACAGCAGATGAGAGATACTCTTAATTTTACTTGTATCACTTTATTGTGTGCTAATATTTTTCTCTAGGAGCTCTGGTGGTGTGGTGCCTAAGGCATTTGACCGCTAGCCAGAAGCCTGGCTGTTCAAACTCATCAGAAACTCCTCGGAAGGAAGACTGGGCAATCTACTTCTGTACAGATACTGCCTCAGAAACCCAAGGAGGGGTCAGTATGAGTCGGATTTGACTCACCAGCAGTGAGACTATTTTTGTCATGTGTGTATACTGTTATTAATTTCTAAATATGTCTCCCTGTCTATATAAGTTTTTTTTTTTTTTTTTTTTTTCCCTGAGTACAGATAAAACGACGTAATTCTCTCAGATTGTAAATATCAGCAGTCTGGCAGGTAATGTTTCCTTTTTTATTGGTAGTCTTCTGTTTTTAGGGATGAACTTAGTTTTGAATCTCCTCTTTCTCAAGTCATCCACATTATAATGATCCAACATTACAATAAGCCTGCAATACAATAATACAATAATCCACATTACAATAAGCCAACAATACTGGGAGAGAACACTGGGAATGGATTGGCATGCCCTTCCCAAGTGCCACTGCTATATATTGAATGATGTTGAAAGGATGTACAATTGGAATAATTTTAGGAAGAAAAACAAATAGTGTTGCTATTGTTGTTATGTGACATTGAGTTGGCCCCGACTCATAGCGACCCCTCCTTGGGTTTCTGAGGCGGTATCATTACGCAAGTAGATTGCCCAACCTGCCTTCCGAAGAGTGGCTGGTGGGTTTGAACCACCAGCCTTCTGGTTAGCAGTCAAGTGCCTTAGGCGCTACCCTACCAGAGCTCCAAATAGTGTTGCAGTGGATCCAAAAAAAGGATGGTAGTGATTTCCTGTAATATCCAATTTGCCAAACTTTTCTTGATTACACATTGATAGCTTGAAGGACATAATGGTTATGAACTGTACTGGCAAGAGCATGGGTTTGAAGTGAGACTTGTATTGGAACAAAGAGATTTCTATTAACCACTCATATAATTTATGCAAATTAAAACTCATCTCTTATTTTCAGATGGGAATACTAATAATTACATCATAGGATATTTTATGCAGGTTAAATAAACTAAAAGAACACAGAGGCATATAGTGCAGTGGCTAAGAGCATGGGCCATAGAACTAAATCAACTGGTTTGGAATTTCAGTTCCAATATTTGTCTTTTGTATGACTTTGGGAAAGTTGTATAATCCTTATGTGCCTCAGTTTCCTCATATGTAAATTGAGGTGATAATAACACCAACTTCATAAGATTTTATTATCTTCTTAAAAATCATAATGTGAAAACATAAAAAATAACAGTAGAGAGAATAGTGTATTAAGTGTCCGTATACCTTTCAACCAACATCAACAATTATTAATATGCGACCAATATTTTTCATCTATTTTCCCAACAACATCACTCCCTCAAACTGGATTATTTTAAGGCATTTTACTAGATACCATACCAGTTAAGATTTTAACACTTCAGCCTTTTATTCTTCATTTACGTGTTCCTTTTTTGACAGAACTATATAATTATACCTCCTGTACTAGTTTTTTTTTAATTGATGTGTAACAAATTACCACAAATTTAGTAGCTTGAGGGGGGAAAAAAAAAAAAAAACCCACTGCCACTGAGCCAATTCCAACTCATAGCAACCCTGTAGGACAGAGTAGAACTGCCCCATAGAATTTCCAAGGGTATAAATCTTTATGGGAGTTGACTGCCTCATCTTTCTCCAGTGGAGTGGCTGGTGGCTTGGAACTGCCAACTTTTTGGTTAGCAGTCAATGCCTTAATGGGGACAAATTACATTTATTATCTTAGTGTCTGTGGGTTGGGAGTCTGGGCACAGCTTAACTATGTCCATTGTTTTCTAAATGATATCTAAATGCTATGAGTTTTAGAAATTATAACTTGTCAAAGGCTTCCTTTGTGAGGTAGAAATAAAATGAAATATTAAAACACAATTTAGAAGGTGAAAAAGAAAGAAAAGACTCTTCAAGACTGAGGAAGCGTATGAACAAAAGTACAAGAGGATAACAGTATCCAACATATTGAGACAATGGAAAGTAGTCTTGCAGGAATATAATACAGGTTATAAGGACAATCTCAAAAAAGAAATTAGACCCCGATAGTGAAGGAATTTAAACAGTAGGATTTTACTTTTACAATTAGTGATAAACTATCAGGAGCCCTGTGGTACAGTAGTAAGTACATGGCTGCTAAACGAAAAGGCCAGCAGTTCTAACCCACCAGGCCACTCTGCAGGAGGAAAATGTGGCAGAGTGTTTCCATAAAGATTTATAGACTTGTCTGGTGGTGTAGTGCTAAGGCATTTGACAGCTAACCAGAAGGCTGGTGGTTCAAACCCACCAGCCACTCCTCAGAAGGAAGGTTGGGCAATGTACTTTCATAGTGATACTGCCTTGGAAACCCAAGGAGGGGTCACTATGAGTCAGATCCAACTTGATGGCAGTGAGTTAGATTTTTGGTTTTTAAACCCTATAGGGCAATTTTACCCTGTGTTATTGGGTCACTATTAGAATCAACTTGACAGCAGTGGGTTTTTTTCCGGTTTAATAAACTATTGAGAATAGTCATAATTCAAAAACTTAAAACTTTGTTCTTCCCAGTCACTCAAAACCCTGACCCCACTCCAGGAAATATGCAAATTAGTGAATTAATACTATTGTTGTTCTACTAACAAAGCTGAGTTTTAATCACAAGAAATTACTTGGCAAATATATAGTTTTAGCTAATCATATTTGTTGTCATTTCTCCTTTCTTTGTTTTCTATAGAATTCATTTTTCCCCCCTCAGGAAATAATTATAAGTGCCCAAACAACTGGTTGAACAAAAAGAAATGTTACTGGTTTTCCACTTCTTTTAAAACTTGCAAAGAAAGCTAATATGATTGTACAAAGCTATACACATAGTTTCTGGTGATTAAAAATTTGGATGAGCTGGTGAGGAATCATAAATAAGATTTAAGTCCTCAAGGAAGAATTGCTATGGTTTCTTAAAAATGTGGGTGATTTGATGTTTTTGATGTTATTTGTTAGCCATAATGTAATGAAGATGTTTTTATAATGAAAATGTATTATTAACCAATCATAAATGCCTGGCATAATATCTGTCTCTAAGAAAACATTCAAATTATTTTTAAATAAATGAATTAATTAATACACTATTTCATCTATAGGTTTTCATACAGAAGAGTTTAAAACCTGGACATGTTGGTTGGATTGGACTATATATTATTATTCTCAAGGAAATCTTTGGACTTGGATAGATGAGCACTTTCAGTTCTACGATTGTAAGTTGTTTTCTTTGTGTGGTATTTTTTGTTTTATATATAGAATGATATATATAAGCTAAGCTTCTTTGCTTTCCAATCTTTTATTCTGTCTTCCTGTCTCTGTAATTTTCTTTTTTCTCCCCTTTTTTTTCTTTTCTATCTCCCACTTTTCCTTTTCTTCCTCTTTTAACATTCATCAATGTTAAGAAATAGGGATGAAAGCTGTTTATTATATCCCCTAACTATCAGTAAATGTTCAAAAAATAATTATTATTTTTAACATTTTAAGTTGATTTAAGCCTCACTTAAAATAATTTAAGCAAACATCTCCTATATGATAAATGCACAGATAACATTCGTCTATAAATTTTTAAAAATCTGGACTATCTAGGTCTCTTGAAATTAGATATTGTGAATTTGAATTTATGTTCTTAGGAAATTCACCTAAGCTTGATATAAATTTGCTTATCTATGTAAAAAGATCCACCACTTATCTGTCAGTTTATTGTACTATAGTGGCTTGTGTGTTGCTGTGAGTCTGGAGGCTATGCCACTGGTATTTCAAATACCAGCAGGGTCACCCATGGTGGACAGGTTTCAGTGGAGCTTCCAGACTAAAGCAGACTTGGAAGAAGGAAGGAACCATCTACTTCTCAAAGAATTGACCAGTGAAAACCTTATTAATAACAATGAAGCACTGTCTGATATATTATTGGAAAACTTTATGAATAGCAATGAAACATTGTCTGATATAATGCCAGAAGATGAATCCCTCAGGTCAAGAGGTACTCAAAATACAACTGGGGAAGAGCTGAATCCTCAAAGTAGAGTCAATCTTAATGATGTGGATGGAGTAAATCTTTTGGGACCTCCATTTGCTAATGGAGCATGACTCAAAATGGGAAGAAATACCTGCAAACATCCATTAATAACAGGAACATAGAATGTATGAAGTATGAATTGAGGAAAATTGGAAGTTGTCAAGAATAAAATGGAATGCATAAATATCACTATCCTAGATATTATTGTTGTTGTTGTGTGCCGTAGAGTCGGACCCGACTCACAGTGACCCCTCCTTTGATTTCTGAGGCGGTATCACTACGGAAGTAGATTGCCCCATCTTCCTTCCTTATTAGTGACCTGAAATGGACTGGTTTTGTCCATTTTGAATCAGACAATCATATGATCTACTATACTGGGACTGAAAAATTGAAGAGGAATGGTGTAGCATTCATTGTCACAAAAAGTGTTTCAAGATCTATCCTGAAGTACACTGCTATCAGTGATAGGGTAATATCCATAAGCCTACAAGGAAGACCAATTAATACTACTATTATTAAAATAGTAGTATTAATTATATATATTATTCAAATTTATATACCAATTACTAAGGCCAAAGACAGGAAACTGAATATGTTTACCAACTTCTGCAGTCTGAAATTGACCAAACATGCAATCAAGATGTATTGATTATCACTAGTGACTGGAATGCAAAAGTTGAAACAAAGAAGAATCACTGGTAATTGGAAAATATAGGATTCATGATAGAAATGACAACAGAGATCACATGATGGAATGTTGCAAGACTGATGACTTATTCATTGTAAATATCTTTTTTCAACAACATAAATGGTGCTATACATATGGACCTCACCAGATGGAATACACAGGAATCAGATTGACTACATCTGTGGAAAGAAACAAATGAGAAGCTCAATATCTTCAGCCAAAACAAGGCCAGGAGCTGACTGTTGAACAGACCATTAATTGCTCCTATGCAAGTTCAAATTGAAGCTGAATACAATTAAAACAAGTCCACGAGAGCCAAATATGACCTTGATTATATCTCACCTGAATTTAGAGCCATCTGAAGAATATATTTGATGCATTGAATATCAATGGCCAAAAAACAGATGAATTGTGGGAAGACATTAAGAACATCATAGACGAAGAGAGCAAGAGATTATTAAAAAGACAAAGGAAGAAAAGACCAAAATGGATGTCAGGAGAGACTCTGAAACTTGCCGTTGAGTGGAGAGTAGCTAAAGCCAATTGAAGAAATGACAAGATAAAAGAGCTAAACAGAAGATTACAAAGAGCAGCATGAGAAGACAAAGTCAGTTATTAAAATGAAATGTTCAAAGACCTGGGATTAGAAAATCTAAAAGGAAGAATACTCTCAGCATTTCTTAAGTTGAAAGAACTGAAGAAAAAATTCAAGCCTGGAGTTGAAATATTGAAAGATTCTAGGGCAAAATATTGAATTATGCATGAAGCATCAAAAGAAAATGGAAGGAATTCACAGAGTCATTGTACCAAAAAGAATTGGTTGATGTTCAACTATTTCAGGAGGTGGCACTTGGTCAAGAACCAATGGTATTGAAGGAAGAAGTCAAAGTTGCACTGAAGGAATTGGCAAAAAACAAGCCTCCAGGAACTGACAGAATAGCCATTGAGATGTTTTGACAAATAGATGCCACACTGGAGGTATGTACTCATCTATGCCAAGTAATTTGGAAGACAGCTACTTAGTCAACTGACTGTAAGAGATCCATATTTGCACCCATTCAAAGGAAGGTGATCCAACAGAATGTAAAAATAATTGAACAATATCATTAATATCACACATAAGTAAAATTTTCTGAAGTTAATTAAAAAATGGTTGCAGCAGTGTATTGACAGGAAACTTCAAATAATACAAAATGGATTCAGAAGAAGACATGCAATAAGCAATATCACTGCTGATATCAGATGGATCTTGGCTCACAGCAAAGAACATTGGAAAAATGTTTACTTGTGTTTCATTGACTATGCAAAAGCATTAGACTGTGTAATTCATAATAAATTATGGATAACATTGAGAAGAATGGGAATTCCAGAACACTTAATTATGCTTATGAGCAACTTGTACATAGACAGAACCACGGGGATACTGAATGGTTCAAAATTAGGAAGGGAGTATGTCTGGGTTGTATCCTTTGACCATGCTTATTCAACCTGTATGCTGAGCAAATAATCTGAGAAGCTGGACTATATGAAGAAGAGCATGGCATCAGGATTGGAGGAAGACTCACTAACAACCTGTGATATGCAGATGACACAAACTTGCTTGCTGAGAGTGAAGATGACTTGGAGCACTTACTGATGATGATTAAAGACTACAGTCTATAGTATGGGTTATACCTCAATATAAAGAAAATGAAAATCTTCCCAATTGGATTAAAAAGCATCACCATGATAAATAGAGAGAAGACTAAAGTTGTCAAAGATTTCACATTACTTGGATCCACAATCAACACCCATGGAAGCAGAAGTCAAGAAATCAAATGTTGTATTGCACTGGACAAATCTGCTGCAAAAGTCCTCTTCAAAGAGTTCAAGAGCAAACATGACACTTTGAAGACTAAGGCACGCCTAAACCAAGCCATAGTATTTTAAATTATCTCATATGCATTTGAAAACTGGACAATGAATAAAGAAGACTGAAGAAGAGTTGATGCTTTTGAGTTATGGTGTTGGCAAAGAATACTCACAGTACCATGGACTGCCAGAAAAATGAACAAATCTGTCCTGGAGGAAGGGCAGCCAGATAGCTCCTTGGAAATGTGAATGGCCAGACGTCATGCCACTTAGTTTGGTCATGTTGTCAGAAGGGAACATTCTCTGGAGAAGGATATCATGCTTGGTAAAGTGGAAGGTCAGCAAAACAGGGAAAGACCCTCAATAAGACGGATTGACACAGTGACTGCAATGATGGGCTTAAGTACAGCAAGTATTGTGAGGATGGCGCATGACTGCAGTTTTTCATTTTGTTCTACATAGTGTTGCTATGAGTTGGAGCCAACTTGATGGTACCTAACAACAACAACATATAAAAAGATCAATGAAGCTTTCTTCATAATGTTCCAGTATGACTAACATAAGTTAGTGCATGTATGCGAGCTCCAAAATTCTTAATTTGTTGGAGGTGGGGAAGAGAAAAAGATTTATTCTTTAGATAGTAGACAGTTGTCATTTTTGATGATGGAAAAGGTAACACAGAGTGAGTATGAAGTGTGCACAGCTTAATGAAGGTAAACGATGTCACTAAGGTAAACACAAGAAAAAAGGATCTTTTCATAAATTGCTATGGCATGTATAACTTTTCAAACACAGCAACAACAAACAAAATACATGTATGCTGTAGTTTATGTATAGATGTAGGCATATATGTGCATAGAGTGAAAAAAAAAAAACTGCCATAGAGTCAATTCTGACTCATAATAATCCCCATTAGGTTTCCCAGGCTGTAAATATTTATGGAAGTAGATTGTCCCATCTTTCTTCCATGGAACAGCTGGTGGGTTTCAGTGGTGACCTTCTGGTTAGCAGCCAAATGCCTTATCAACTATGCCACCAAAGCTATTGATATGTGTGTGTAGGTATGAATATGTGAGTGTATATTTGCTTATATATATGTGTATGCATATTTGTGTATGTGAGAGCATGCATATATATTCATATATACAATAAAGCACATAGCATAGTAATGGATACTTCTTAGACCAAACACCTCACAGGTTGTTTTTCTGGGTTTGAAGGCTTAGGACCATAGTCTCATGGGACAACTTGATCAATTGGCATAATATAATTCATCAAGTTATGTTCTGCATCCTAAAAGCTTGAGTAGCCATCTAAGATACAACTATTGGTCTCCATTCATCTGGAGCCAAACAGAAAGATAGAAACCAAAGACTCAAGGAAGAAATTAGTCAACTGGACTAATAATCTACATCAACAATAGCCCTATTTACTCTGAGAAGTGAAGAATTAGATGGCATATGGCAACCACTACTGACCATTCTAATGAGGGACATAGCCCATAAATATTGATAAAATGGGAGAAAATGTGGAGTAGAACCTCAAATTCTTAAAATATCTAGATTACTAGACTGGTTGAGACTCCCTGAGACTACTGCCCTGAGATATTCTATAATTCTTGAAGGAAAAGTGGCCTCTGTGGTTACCTCTTAGGTAAATAACAGACTGGTTCATAAAATAAAGAATATCATCTGTGAGTACTATGCTCCTCACAACTTACTTTGGTAGCAGGTATTTTCACTTTGCACATTTTATTCTAATTACCTTGTAAAGAAAATTAGTTTTGTGGCTATGTGGAAAATATAAGAAGTAAAATTTAAATGATAAGGGTCAGTTAGGTCATAGTTCAAGGGAGAGATAATGATTGTCTCAATGAGAATGGGTCAGAGGATAGAAAGAAGTGAATGGTTATGAGGCACAACCTGGAGATAAAATACTCAGTGATTACTGGTATAGTAGTGTTAGGGTTGAGAGGGAAGGAAGGAGTAGTAATGACTTCTAGTCTTCTGACTTAAGCTTCTACAGTGCAATTACTAAGATAGGAGATAAGTGGTTCAGAGGTAAAGCAAATCAAGAGTGTCCAAATGTAATCACAAGCAACAAGTGCGTGCATGCACTGCCGAGTTATATCTGACCCATAGGGACCCCTCCTTGGGTTTCCGAGGTGGTATCACTATGGAAGTGGATCGCCTAATCTTCCTTCCGAGGAGTGGCTGGTGGGTTTGAACCACTAGCCTTCTGGTTAGCAGTCAAGTGCCTTAGGCAGTAAACCGCCAGAGCAAGGCAGGGTCCATTTTAAAACCCCTGCAAAATCTTTGCTAATGAGAAAGAATCTATGAAAGTTTGGCTTGAGGAAACTTTACAGTTACCACCATTAATTATTTTATGATAAATGCTCAAAACTTTGTCCTTTATCTCCCCCACGTTTTTAGTGATTGGACAAACTGAAAGCAAGAGTTGTGCCATCATAACAGGAAGTGAGGTGTATTCTGAAGACTGTAACTACAAATTTAATGGCATTTATGGGAAAGATGCTGTCTGGTTTATATCCACTAGACCCAATGGTGTGTCAATATACAATACAGTGTAGAACTACTTCTCAGCTTGAAGCTGAAGGATATTTAAAGAATTTGGTTATTTTAGACAAAGTTTCAAATAGGAAGTTTCTGATAAAAGACATCATCAAAATAGGAGGAACATCTTTTCTCCTAAATTGACGTTGAAGTCAATTTGTTTACAGAACTATTGTTGAATATTTGGATTTACCTTTTTCTTTCCTACTGCACTGGTAATATACAACCAAATGATAAAAGTTACTAGTTATTTTAGTAGTTATTTTTTGCAATTAAAAACACAATAGAGTAAAAAGGTTTCAAATAAATATATATTTTTTAATGCTATGTGTACTATGTGGTGGATTGAAAAGAGGAATTATATGTATTCATATATTGATACATGAAACAATTCTGAACTTTTTGCTTATATATTGTAGCCTCATGTTTCTTATAAAGTCACACCATCAAATATTCAAAACAATAATGAACAAAAAAATTGTGCTTTTAAATAAAGAATTAAAAGAAATATGTATGTAACATTGCCTATCCTTTTCTTAGTGGAGTTCATTTTATTGTTTTTTTAATAAAAAATAAGTAAAAATTTCTAATATTCTATACAGAAATAATTCTTCTTTCAATAAGAACATAATAAAATCACTTTAAGTAAGAAAACAAAATTCCCTGTTCTTTCAATAAGAAAAGAAATTCAATCTTCTTCAAATCTGCCTTATTTTCAGTCTATATGTATGCTGTATCTTAGGTTCTAATTCCTTTTGAACATTTGGTGAAGTAATCAGTAGACCTGTTCATGACATATTTATGCATTTTCTTTCTTCTTGGACTTTTCTCTCAAGTTAATCACTTTTCATTTTAATAAAAAATAAATCAAATTTTGAGCTGGCAAGTATTAAAGTATTAAAATGTTGTAAGAGTGAGATGGTAATTTGAAGTAATATGCCATCTTATTTGTTTTTAATTTTACTAAAATTTACTTCTCTTTAATAGAATTATGTTTCAACATTATTATATTGAAAACTGTCCCACGCTTTTAGTGTTCTAACTGAAATTGTATAAAAATAAAGTTTCCTATTTGTCTCATTTATTGAAAACATATTCATATTTCAAAAAATGCAACATATTGTGTTTACTATATATCATTAGTTAGCTCCTTTAAAAATTGTATGTAGTTTATTCTAAGTCATTAGGAATTTAGTGTAGTGCCTAAGGCATTTGACTACTAACTAGAAGGCTAGTGGTTCAATCCCACCAGCCACTCCTTGGAAGGAAGATTGGGCTATCTACTTCTGTAGTGATACCACTTTGGAAACCCAAGGAGGGGTCACTATGAGTCAGATCTGACTCAATGGCAGTGAGTTTGGTTTTTTGTTTGGAACTATGAATATAAAAAGAAAAAAAAAAAGGAAAGAATGAATTCTCTGCTGAGGAATTAGGAAAATTAACTTGTAACTATGAACAAAGGACTTATTGATTGCAAATTTTTTTTTCAACAATATAAATGATGGTGATATATGTGAACCTCACCAGATGCAATACACAGGAATCAGACTGACTACATCTGTGATAAGAGACAATGGAGCAGCTCAGTATCTTCAGACAAAACAAGGCCAGGAGCTAACTATGGAACAGACCATTAATTGCTCATATGTAAGCTCAAACTGAAGCTGAGACAATTAAAACTAGTCCACTAAAGTCAAAATATGATCTTGTTTATATCCTACCTGAATTTAGAGACCATTTGAAGAATAGATTTAACACATTGAACACCAATGGCCAAAAACCAGACAAGCTGTGGGATGTTATCAAAAACATCATACATGAAGAAAGAAAAAGGTCATTTAAAAAAAAATGAAAGGAAGAAAAGACCAAAATGGATGTCAGAAGAGACTCTGGAATTTTCTCTTGAATGGAGAGCAGCTAAAGAAAATGGAAGAAATGACAAGATAAAAGAGCTGAACAGAAGATTTCAAAATCATTTATTACAATGAAATGTGTAAAGATCTGGAGTTAGAAAACCAAAAGGGAAGAACATGCTCTGAATTTCTCAAGGTGAAAGAACTGAGGGAAAATTCAAGCCTTGGGTTGTAATATTGAAGGATTCTATGGGCAAAATATGAATGATGCAGGAAGCATCAAATGAAAAAAAGGAAGGAATACACAGAGCCACTGTACCAAAAATAATTGGTCAATGTTCAACTATTTCAGGATATGTCATTTTATCAAGAATTGATGGTATTGAAGGAAGAAATTGAAGCTTTATGAAAGGAATTGGTGAAAAACAAGGCTCCATGAATTGGAGGAATATCCATTAAGATGTTTCAGCAAACAGATGTTTCACTGGAGGCACTTACTCATCTATGCCAAGTAATCTGGAAGTCAGCTACCTGGCCAAGTGACTGAAAAGATTCATATTTTTACCCATTCCAAAGAAAGGTCAGCCCACAGAATGTGGAAATTTTCAAAGAATATCACTAATATAACACACAAATAAAATTTTGCAGAAGATGATTCAAAAACAGCTGCAGCAATATATTGACAGGGAATTTCCAAAAATACAAGATGTAGTCAGAAGAGGACATTGAATGAGAAATATCATTGCTGATGTCAGGTGGATCTTGCTGAAAGCAAAGAATACCAGATAGATCTTTACTTGTGTCTTATAAACTATGAAAAAGCATTTGTGTGGATTATAACAAATTATGGATAACACTGTGAAGAACGGTGTTTTGGTTCTCTAGTGCTTCTCTAACATAAAATATCACAAGTGGGTGGCCTTGAGGAACAGGAGTTTATTCTCTTACATTTTAGGTGCTAGAAGTCCAAGTTCAAAGTGCCAGCCCTAGGGGCTAGGTGAAGGCCCCTCAACCTTGGGCTTCAGCTCTGCCTATTGGTCTTGGATCACTGAAGCAGGAGGCGTCTCTTAATTTAGGCAACTGCTGGCTGCCGAGGCTGACAAACCCATGGTTGACAAGTGAAACTGTACAGTCCAAAGATTATCAAGCAACACTACAGGTCACTAGTTCAAGTCCAGAAACAGTCCCAAGATCATCAGGCACCATGACAGGCCACTAAGTGATGAGTGGGCCAAATGCAGGACTCAAATGTGCCAAGAAGATCAAGACTTTTCTCAAAGTGTCTTCTTATATACTGGAAGTAGAACACATCCCTAAGGCAGCTACTCATCTTCTCACAGTAGATTACACAATAGAGCTGATTACCAGTCTCATCATGGGGAATAACTATATCTAGGTGCCCAGTCTTTCCAAATTAGGCCCAGCCAAGTTAAACATAATTTTAACTACCATAATTCTACCCCTTGTCAACTTGGCACATATATGGATCTCCTTCACTGGGTGGCCTGAGTCTTCTAATCCATCTGAGTGGCAACCTCACCCTGTTGGCCTGGCAGGCTCCATTCCTCTGTCCCTTGCATGTGACAGCCCTGTCCTCTCACTTATGGGCAGCAGCTATGGCTTCATCCAACTGGCCATCATGAACGGCAGCTCCACACTCCAAAACCAAGTTGGTGAAGATCTGAATCTTTGAAACCTAGGAGGCGGTAGTGGTTCTACTCCTAGGGTCCATAGTCTTACCCTTTGAAGTTGAATCACTGAGTCAGCTCTGCTTCCCATTTCCTTGGTCTCTCAGCTTTTAACAAATAATGCCTGAGGGCAACTTACTCTGTTAGGAAGCTTCCTGCCCAAAAGCTTTCTGCTCCATGGGCCAGCAGGCCTGCTTCTTCATCTCACGCTGGTCTCTTCTACCAATCAGTGCTCAAAGCCAACCCACTCTGTCAGGAAGCCTTCTGCCTAAAGACATTGAGCTTTCTCCTTCATGGGTTGGTATGCCTGTCGCTGTGTCTCATGCCAGTCTCTCTGTTCTGCTTCCACTGTCTCTCTGACAGTCTCTCTATTGGTCTCTTTGCCAGTCTCAGTTCAGGGATCTTGAGTCCAAGGATGCAACCCACTCCTGTTTCCACATTTTAGGTATCTTTCAGAGCATCACCCTACTCTCTCAGTACCAAATTCCATTTTAGTTTTCTTTCTACTTTGATTTCTCTGATTTCCTATTTGGTAGAGTTGAAAGTTTCCTCATTGTGCTCATAGTGGGCAAGTGTGTGCCTTGAATTGATAAGGATATGCCTGTAATCGTTCTCTCATTCAACAATCTGTTGTTTCTTTGCTTACTATTTGCAAGACTATGTACTCCATAGCATAATAAATAAGAAGCAACTTTTTCCTATCTAATCCTTTCCTTTATCTCTGAGTTATGCTACTAAATATTCAGTATTACCTGTTTTATAAATATTTAGGTTTGCTGCAAATCCACTTTAAATCAACAAATCCCCTTGAACTATGGACACCATCAGCATTCAGAAAAGCAAAGGATCCATTTCCTGTAATTTCAAACCTAAAAAGGAACATTCAAAATCATTCTAGGAACCATCTATAGTTGTAGCCAACAATAAAATTAAGAATAGAATGATTTGAAACTTATTTATCAAAACACTGAGCTCCAAGAAAATATCCTCATCCATCACCATATCTTGCCCCCCCAAATATCTGCCATGATAAAGGAAAGTAGGAATAATCTAGGTATATGTTGGAATTATAACTGGCAGACTTATTTAGAACAATGTGTGGATAGCTGGCTAGCTAGTTATAATTAAGATAGACATAAGTCTGTGTCTGTATTTATCTATCTACCTACCTATCATCTACACATGTCTATAGACATGCTAAATCCAAAGGTATCTAAAATTGTTTTTTTAAAATTTTCCTGGCATATATTAGTCAATATATTTATTAAAGGGTATGTAATAAGGTTTATAATAATTTGGTACTTTTGAAAACATATTGATAGAAACAAAAGACACTAGTTTAATTTCTTTTTTTTTAATTAATTGGCTTTTTAAATCAGTCTTCCTTTTTTAATAAATATAATTTGCCCTATCTCACTTACTTCAATGTATGTTTGTTCCCCCCCCCTTTTTTTTTTTTTAATGTATAACACTTACTGACACAATAATGCAGGAATACATTGTCGTTGTTGCTGTTATGTGCCCTTGAGTCAGACCCGACTCATAGCGACCCCTCCTTGGACTTCCAAGGCATTATCACTATGGAAGTAGATTGCCCCATCTTCCTTCCAAGGAGTGGCTGGTGGGTTTGAACCACCTTGCTGACACAGTAAGGCAGGAATACATGAATACAAAATAAAAGTTCTAGGGCTTTTGTTTTTAAGTAAAATAGCATATACTTAAGGAGACTTGACATTTACATAAACATATGATGGCATTTATAAAAGAAGTTTGTATATGGTATCTAACTGTTCAAAGAAGACATCTTGGATAAATGTAGTTTATGGACAAAGCTGCAAGTAAGTCATTCATGAGTTTTGGCTTGGGAGTTGCAGGATAGTTCTATCTGAATTACCAGAAGAAGAGTGAATTGACATGAACTTGACAATAAAAATTAAATTTAAATGTATGAAAAATTTCACTGTGTGTCATTTATGAGGATTAAATGAAGATGGGTTGTTTTAGGGTATGTATGTTACAAGGTGGAGCTTAGTGGCAGTATCTAAGGCATTTGACTGCTAATTAGAAGGTTGGCAGTTCAAACCTGCCAGCTGCTCTTCAGGAGGAAAATGAGGCAATCTATTTCTATGTGTTTTAATGTAAATGTTTCAATGTAAATGCTAATGTATCACAGAGTGGAATCTGAGAAATATAATTACATATAGAAAATAGGAAGATTTCCTTATAATAATACAATTCAGAAAGATTCCTTTTTTTTTTTAATACAACATACAACACAAGAATAAAAAAATTTCAACTGAATTTAAAACTCACCAAGAATTGAATGTTGTTCCATTTGTCCATTTCCAAGAATGTCCTGGTTTTCTGCTTAATCCAATCCAGTGCATAAAAGTTCCCGTGCGGTTCTTCAAAAAATCCTTCCATAAAGCACAGGGTACCATTCTTTATTTACTATTTGACAGCACATTGCTAAATATGTTTTTTAATGACACTAGACCATCTTTTATGATCTACATTCTAATTTCCATACCCTAATACCTATAGAAGCCCCTGTGGCTCAGTGGTTAAAACATTGGACTGCTAACCAAAAGGTTGGTGGTTTGAATCCACCAGCTGTTCTGTAAGAGAAATACATGGCAATCTGCTTCTTTACAGATTTACAGCTTTGGGAACTCTATGGGGCAGTTCTGCTCTGTCCTATATGGTTGCTATGTGTCGGAATCCACTGGCCAGCAGTAGGTCAATTGTTGGAATGCATCCACAGCAATGAACAATATAGATACAAATTTTCCTTGCTGTCTGAAAGTACAACATTCCATTGAAAACTACCATGAGCTGAAATGGCATAAAGCAAAGAAGTGACTACCATTAATTTATAAGGGAAAAATATTTGAGTGTTCCCAGAGCCCAAAGGAGCTCTGGTGGTGTAGTGCCTAAGGAACTTGACTGCTGACCAGAAGGCTGGTGGTTCAAACCCACCAGCCACTCCTTGGAAGGAAGGTTGGGCAATCCACTTCCATAGAGACACTGCCTTGGAAAACCAAGGAGGGGTTGCTATGAGTCAGGTCTGACTCGATGGCACATAACAACAACAACAACAGAGCCCCAAAATAGTCTACAATTCATACTATATAACACGTAAAACTTAAAATAACACTAATGCAGCTTGATGCTAAGATGCTGAGCATCCTTCTCAGGGACAGAGCTTGGTGACACTACTTTCACTGCTCAGAGTGAGCACTGCCTCTTTAAAGACTAATGCTGATCTGCAAAATAAAGGCTGAATGCTATTTTCACTTTTATTTTTTTTGTAAAAGTGAAAATCTGTTTCAACAGTTAGTGAAAATGACTACTATACTAATGTAGGTATTTCATAGAAGAAGTGGTGTACAGTGAACTTTCAAAAAATGGTAGATACCTGTACTGATATTTGGGTTAGTTTGAGCAGAAATATTTTCATTTTGCTTTTTAATTCTCAATTATCTCTAAGTAACTGAGGACTTTAACCAAATCACTTAAACTCTCTGAGCTACACTGTCTCTAGTAGTCTGTCAAGTTTCTCAAAATTTCTCAAAAAATGAGATATTGATGAGGAAAATATATTTAACATCCTCTTTTTATTTTTTTGGTTAAAATGCTTAAAGCATCAATGTATTCTAGTCACAGAGTGAATGAACAAAGATTATAAATGGATATGATATAATGTATGACCAGATAACAAAATCAGGGATGGAACTGTATCTATAGAAAATTATACAGAATACTCTTCAAGTGAGATAAAAAACTAATAAATATATTTTATTTTTTGCACAGATCCTGTGCTAAAAATAACAGGAAGGGATTTCAGGGGAAAGAGGGTCATTTAAATTTTAAGTACTGTTAATGTTTGAAAACTTAGTTCTAAACTATTTTAGTAGACAACATAAAAAGAATACTGCTCCTGTTCTATGCTTTCTTATATAATCAGAGATCAAGTTAAATTTTTGATGAATATGATTTATTGCAAAAAAAAAAAGTAATGGGCTTAAAGTTTTCTCTACTGGTTTCTTGATATTAGAACATAAACATCAAAAATATTAGTCAGGTTTTCTTTACTAAAAGGAGGCAAGCAAAACTCTTTCCTCATCCTGTGTCCATGCAGTTCTAGGCCTTCTTTTCTCTCCCTCTCTTACTTCTTTCATTCATTCACCCACTTCTGCAAAGTGCATATATATGACCTTTACATCCTCATGTCTAATTCAAAAAACTACTTTTTATTATTATTTAAATTTTTTTGAGTTATTCTTGGTGGAATGTAAATATAAAGACATTAAAAATGGTTGATTTAACAATCTAAGAACATGTATCAAAAATATTTAACTATGTGAACAATATGCTTAGTGGTTAAGAGCATAGCTTCATTACCTAACCTCTCTGAATTCAAATCCCAGCTTGATAACTTATGGCTGTATGACATGAGCTGGGTTATATAATCTCTCTGTGCTCAGTTTCCCCATCTTTAAAATGGGAATACTATTATACTAATCTCATAGACAATAGCTGAAGATCACATGAGATATTATAGTACAGTGCTTAGAAGATTGTGACATTGTATTAGCTATTATCATTTTTATTCTCTTTGTACAAATTCAGTCTCTGAAATGATTGTAAGCCTTCCCATTTTCTTACCATATCCTTTTGTGTATCAACCTGAGCGAGTTCTGATCCATGTGAATCACACATTTTTTTACTATCTGGCCAATTCTTGGTATCATTAGAAAAATAGAAACACTTCTCTTCTACTTCAATCCAGTCACCAGAACATGCAGTAATTTTAGGACATTTTGAGCGTCTTGTAAAAAGTACTGTTAAAGAAAGGAAATGATCATATAAAGCATTTGTTATTGTTGTTATGTGCCGTCGAGTCAGATCCGACTCATAGCGACCCCTCCTTGGGTTTCCGAGGCAGTATCACTATGGAAGTAGATTGCCCCATCTTCCTTCCAGGGAGTGGCTGGTGGATTTGAACCGTCAGCTTTCTGGTTAGTAGTCAAGTGTCTTAGGCACTATGCTACCAGAGCTCCATTACAAAATCATACTTTGGGAAAAACTTAAAAGAATTCTTGAAGGTCTTAGGCTTTTCAAAGTATGACCCCTGGAGACAGAATTGACCAGCCTACTCTGCATTTCAAATGCATTAATCCGTTTCCAAACTTATGTTCAGATCTAAAGACACACTGTGCCTAAAGACATTTTAAGAGGAATCTTACAGCATTTATACACCCACAGTCCCAATTTATTATTTGAACTTAAATGAATGAACTAGGATTGGAACCATCAGTTTAGTACCTTTTTATTTTTAATAGTAATATGTATTGGTGCTGATTCTTTTGTTTCAGTTTTACTTTTCAAACCAGGGCTGGTGGTCTGTAAAGTTAGCTTTATTTATGAGATGGTGAATGAATTCAGTTCCCATGGCTAGAAGGAAGACTATTTCATGGTTGAACAGTCTGTGCTGTACCATGTTTTCCTGGCTTCTAGAATTAAAATTTATCTTTGAATTATTTTTTCAAAATGGATCCATAATATTAAGAAGAAAATAAACATCTTCAATTTTACAAATCTTGTAATTGCAACAGAGAAAGTAGTGCAATAAGATAGTTGTGTCATTTTTTTTTTCTTTTTTCTCCCTCTTTTAATGTAATGTGGTAGGAAAAACTAATTATTTCATAAGAATAATGATTAGTAGCATAAGTGTGATAGTTAAGTTGTGTGTCAACTTGGCTGGGCCTGGTTGAGTGGCTGGGTAGCTGGATGTAATAATCCCCATGATGAGATTGGTAATCAACTCCATGGTGGAATCTATTGGAGCAGCTAAGTAGCTGCTTTAGGATGTGGTCTGCTTTCAGGATATAAGAAGTAACTTTGAGGAAGGTCTCCAGCTTATGGCATGCTTGGACCCTGCATGTAGCCTAGTCATTGTTCAGCAGCCTGCCATGTTGTCTGCTGATCTTGGGACTATTAATGGACTTGAATCAATGACCTGCTGTGTGGTTTGGTAATATGGCACTGTGCCTTGTTACTTGTCAACCTTGGGTTTGTCAGCCTCAGCAGCTAGCAGCTGCCTGAGTGAAGAAAAGCCTCCAGCTTCAGTGGTCCTGGAACAAGAGCCAGAGCTGAACCCCAAGGTCGAGGGGTTTTTACTCAACCCCTAGAGCTTGGCAGTTGAACTCGGACTTCTTGTCTCTAAAACTGTAAGAGAATAAACTCCTGCTTGTTCAAGCCATCCCATTTGTGGTATTTCTGTTAGAGTGGCACTAGGTAACCAAAACAATAAATTATTCCTAATCCAAAAGAGTAAAGAATTGTTGCAATTTTAAGGAAATGTTGCATGGTGGTTAAAAGATCAGACCTCCGAGTAAGACAGACAAAGGTCTCAATCCTGAGCATGCATTTACATTTCTGAGATGTAACTAACTTACTTAGGCCTTGGTATTATTATTTGCAAAGTGAATTTTTATAAATTTATTTGTGTCATTGTCTTGTGATAATTTAATAAAAAAAGGAATATAGTATAATTAAGGTCCCTCAGTTGTGTAGTTTGTTCTCCACTACTAACTTAAAAGTTGTTTCAAACCCATGCACAGATACTGCAGACTAAAAGGTTGAGAACCTGCTTCCATACAGGTTATAGTCAAGAAAACCCTACTGAGTAGTTCTGCTCTGTGCATTGAGCTCATTACCTCAGAAATATTATTCTCAATAGCAATAAAAAAAATTAGCTCTTACTATTGTTATCTATCTGTTGGACATCTGAGAACTTCGAATTAATTTGTTCAAATATGAATAACTGTTATGAAGTCAAGAAAAGGACTCCATTTTGAAACTTAGAGCATTTTTGAGAGAGTTAAAGAGTAGTGTAAAATTTAGCAAACTGATAGAAACCTGAGGACAAGTCTCTACAAATCCTTTAATTACTCTATAACTGAGAGATCCCTGTGCAATTTTCATGATATAAACATTTGGATCTGATGCACATGAAGAACCATAGATGTTTGCGAGTTAAACCACTTACTTACCTATTGAAGTAATGAAAAAAATCATTGCTATAATCCACAAGACCCACTTAATAAGAAGGCACATTTGGTTTTGTTTAAATTTGTAAGCTGCAGAATAAAGAAAGATTTATTGTACAACTTCTGGAGAAACTAGAAATACAGGATAATTATCAGTCATTTATTCCTTTCCCATAATAATCAACCCAGAAACTCTCATTAAAATCATTCATATTTAAAGTTCTGAAGAATACAAAGACATTGCAAAAATCAAGGCAGTTAAGTGCCAAACAATGATTGTATAGCTGTTCAAATGGGAAGAGGTGGGTGGGGAAATCACCTAAAGTTGGAACAATGAGGGAGGAAAAGCAAGATTAATTTAAAAGGTGGAAATAGTGTTAATGGGGGCACTGGAAACAAAAAAAAAAAAAAAAAATAAGGGTCATTAAGAGGGCTATGACTAGAACAAAGTTGCTGTAACAGAGAACTTAAAAAAAAATGAAAAAAAAATACATGTACATATGTATGTATGTATGTATTATCCGTCTCCTGTAGGGCTCATCAATTCCACCTCTAGGTATTTCTCAAGAGATATTAATACATATGTCCACAAATTGAATGTATAAGAATATTCATAATAGCCAAAACCTAGAAATAACACAGTGTCCATAAGCAAGAGAACGAATAAAGGGTTTATAGTATATTCATGCAATGGAATACTTCTCAACAATAAAAAGGAACAAACTACTAATATATAGAACAACATGGGTGAATCTTAAAACCATTAGGCTGAGTGAGGGGGGAAAAAAGCCAGAATTACAGAGAGCATATTGCTTGATTCAATTATATGAACTGATATAATAAACAAAAGTAATAGATAGAAATAAATCAGTTTGCGAGTTGCTTCTGATAAAGTTATTGATTGGGAGGAAGAAGAGAAAACTTTCTGGGTTGGTTCAAATGTTCTAAATTACAAGACTAATTTAGAATTACATGTGTTATATTTGTCAAAACTGAACTATCCACTTAAAATGCATGCATTTTACAGTTCACAAATCATATAGCAATAAAATCAAGATATAAAAAATATGTATACCGAGAAAGACACTTATTTTTCATTATATTTCAAGCTTTCTCCCACTATTTGTCTCAGTTCTCTAGTGCTGCTATTACAGATGCACCACAAGTGGATGGCTTTAACAAAGAGGAATTTATTCTCTTACAGTTTAGGAGGCTAGAAGTCTGAGTTCAAAGTGTTGGCTCTAGCGGCTGGGTAAATGCCCCTGGACCTTGGGCTTCACCTCTGCCTCCGGTTCTAGGCCTCTCAAGCTGAAGCCTTTTTTTCTGACTCATACAGCTTGCTGGTTGCTGAGTGTGATGAACACTTCATCTACAGGTAAAATGGCACGATCCCAAATTCAGCATGCAAACACAGCAGACCAATGGTTCAAGTCCAGGAACAATTTAAACATCAGTAGGCAACAGGCCAGGTCAAACCTCAGCCAAATGCAGGGTCCAGATGTGCCAAAAGCTAGCGGCCTTTCTCATAGTTATCCTAGAGGCAGGCCACACCCCAAGAACAAATATTAGCTTCTCTCAGCTGATTCCACCATGCAGGTGATCACAGTCTCGCATTAGGGATAACTACATCCAGCCACTCAAATCCAAGGCCCAGACAAGTTGACACACAACTTTAACTACCACACTGGTATGTAGAAATGTTATTGATTTGTTAAATGTGCTTTTTAATGCAGCAACCTTGCTAATTATGATATTACATCTAATTATTTGCTTGCTGCTTCTATTGATATTTCTATTTGTATAATTAAATGGTTTGAAAATATGACAGAAATCTCTCTTCCATTACATCATGTTCCCTTTTATTTGCTTGTCTTATATATTTGGTTACAACTTCTAATACTATGCTATGTTAAAAAGTAGCAATTACGGTGAATATTTTAACTTTTGCCTTGATCTTAAATGGAATCTGTATAAAGTTTCATTATTAAGCATTGTGAATGCTCAATTAAATTAACATTTAACATTAGCAATTTTAGAAAGTTTTCTCCTACTCCTAGTTTCCTAAGAGGTTTTATCTCAGGCATGCTTATATGCATTTCTTCAATAATCATGTGACTTATTTTTAAGTATGTTAATGAAGTGATTTGCATAGACTGATTTTCTGATATTGAAGCGTTCCTAGAATAAACACACTTGAATATACATTTTTAAATCTATCTTGTATTTGGTCAAATAATACTATATTTAGGAAGTAGGTCTATTGTTTTGAAACCAAACTTACACTATTATATTAAAAAAAAAAAAAAACACCAAACCAAACTCACTGCCCTCGAGTTGGATCCGACTCCTAGTGACCCCTCCTTGGGTTTCCGAGGCAGTATCACTATGGAAGTAGATTGTCCTATCTTCCTTCTGAGGAGTGGCTGGTGGTTTTATATATATATTAAGAGTTCTTGTTTGGCTTCATTTTATTAATATCCATCCTCATTTTTTTTAGTGCTTTCATTGCACTTCAATTATCAAAACAATTTTTCCAGTTAATCTGCTTCTGGAATATTCACTATTCAGTTGATCCCCTTTTGTAGTGGTTACCTTTTCAGTTATCCAGATATGTTGCATGTTTCTCAGGGGTATCCGTGACCCTGTCATAGAATGTCAGGACTAAAGGTGAATTTTTTTTTTTTTTTTAATTTAAAAACATTGACACCCACTCAAACTGAGAGCTATAAGCATAACAAACCACTGTTGACAGCCCCTGTCTATTTCTACCATACAGAACCTCTCTGGTCAATAATTCAACTTTAAAGCTTTTGAAAGAGGTAGCAGTGAGAAAAGGCAACCTTATTAGATTGTGATCATAAGCCCTAGGATTTAGCAGAAGAGGAAGTAGACAGATGAATGCAATAAGATATCTGGTTAGCTTGCAAAGGCGTTTTAAAAAATTGATCCTTCCCCCCAGTAGAGCCTTTGAGCACCTGCCACACTGACTACAGGAACCTAAGATGTTTCTGTGGCACTAGAACATGCAAAAATTGTCTACAGTCCATGTGTAAGAAAGTCAAAAGCAGAAGTCAAGAGTTTTCCTTTCATGTATCTTCCTTAATGCATACTCATACTTTGGCATCCCCAAACTACCAGCCCCAAAACCTTACCCATTGTCACATACACGTGTACACACGGAAATCTTAGATCTTCAGAGGCATTTCTATCATTTCCCCATGTTATTTTCTCAAATCCGTTCCTTTTTTTTTTCCTACTTTCACACTTCTGCCAGTTTTTTTTAAAGTAGAAAGCCAGAATTGCTCTAAGTTGCTATTTTCTATGGCCCTTGGTAGAGTAGTGCCTAAGGCATTTGACTGCTAACCAAAAGGTTGACGGTTCAAACCCACCAGATGCTCCACGGAAGGAAGACTGGGGAATCTACTTCTGTAAAGATTTACCACCTCGGAAACCCAAAAGGGGTTGCTATGAGTCAGGATCGACATGGCAGTGAGTTTGGTTTTTGGTTTGGTTTAGCAGATTTCTTCAAGAATGAATTAGTATCTCCATTTTAGAAGAGAGAGACACTGTTCAGCAGAATGACTGAACAGTGTCAGTTTACACATCTGGTAGAGTTTGGATACTTGTGCTACTGAGGATATCTCCTGGGTATTATTGAAAATGACAAAGTGATAGATCTGGGATACAGGATGCTTATTAGATTTTAAGAAATTAAAACAGGCAGAATATAAAATAGTCCAGAATGTGAAGATTAAGGAAGATGGAGATATTCTTACCTGTAACAGAAGAAAAATTGTCATAACTGAGTCCAAAGTTTGAAAAATTACACCCAAGGCTGAGCAGCAGTAATTAATTTGAAAATGCTGGCTAAATTTCTAAGGATCAAAAATAAGAAGAAAATCCTGGAAGACTTCAAGAGGGTGGAAAACAAACCAGATGAACTCTAAGACAGTTAAAATTAGTTTGATGGGAGGCTTATCATCAAATGAATGGAATAGAAACAGTATCAAGTGAAACTATTGTTAGAGTTTGCTGGTATGAATGGAAAAGAGCAATTTATTCAGATTTATAAAGGAAAAAAAATACTTAAAATTCAAATTTTCTATTCAGTCAAATAATTAAATATTAGAGAAAAGTTCAGGCATAAAAGAATTTATAACAATTACTCTTCACAAAGTCTTTCTAAATGAATTAGTAGAAAATAAATTCTACTGAGAAGAATTTGAAGAGAAGTGGGACACAAGAATATATAAAGAACAAAGGAACAAAAAAATTGGCTAAATCTAAATAAATATTTTTATACTAAGTTATCTAAGATAAAAATATGAATTTCTCTGAGCATCAGTTTCCACATCTATAAATGAAAATAATTAACAGCATCCTGCAAACTTTGTTATGCAGAATAAATAGGATAGGCACTTTGTGAAAAGTGCTTAATTTATTGCCTGATCAAGTATTAAATATTCAGTAAACAGTAACTATCAGCATGTATGTACTCACATATGCATAATTGGGTATGCGTATAGATGGATCAATGATAGAAGATAGATAGATAGATAGACAGACAGACAGATAGATAGATACATGGAAGTTAGGTAGATACAAAGAAATTGTAGATTAGAAAGTTTTATTGACTTGACCAAGTTTATATAATTAGTTACTAAAAAGCTCAAGTCCTTAGCACTCTACCATATATTCCCCATGTCTTTGGTTATTTTCTATTTAGTTATTTTAATATTGATTTCACTGAGCATATTAGATAGGCATGCGACCCAACAATAGTCACTAAGTGGTTAGAGATACTCAGAATTCAAGAAAAATTATATTGGAAGCCTGAAAGATGGATTGTATTAGAATCTGAAGGTTTTATTTTTCTCTCATTTTTCTTTCAGAAACATATATAATAATAATAATAATAATAAAACATTGCCATCAAGGTGATTCTGACTCATAGTGATCCTTTTTAGGAGAGAGTAGAACCCTCCATAGGGTCTGCAAGGCTGTAAATCTTTATGGAAGCAGACCGGGTCACCTTTCTCCCATGAGCAACTCATGAAATCTGCCAATTTTTTGGTACCAGTCAATGCCTTAACCATTATTCCATGAGAGCTCCTTTTCAGGCACATGGTATCATGATATTTCTGTGGACTGGTTTTCTCATAACCTTCTTATAAATGCTTCACAATTCTTCATGATTTGTTTCTAACAATTACACAATGATATAAAATATCTTTTCCTTCATATTCCCCAAACGTTTGGATATGAGTGGTTTACCTGGGTAAAGGAATTGTATCCTATTCTTTTTTGTAATCCTAATTTCCAATCATCTATGATTTTAAAGCCTTTTAAAAATATTTTTCTTACCAAATTTTCATAGTTTAAGAGTGTAGAACTATAATCATTGGTGAGAGAAAACAAGAAGGCAACTTTAAATTTACCCTCAAGAAAATTCTCACTGAAATTTCTCAAAATAAAATGGAATTGAATTGTAAAGCAAAACTATCGCTCTCACCAAACATATTCTAGTAGCAGGCTTCTAGAATTGCTTGGAATGCCATATTAGGTAAGAAGTTTTATTAGGTAATAAAGAATTTGTCTTCTACCTGTAAAAGTATTGGACTTCTTTTTAATTAAGAGAATTGTTAAATAGCTGACATTTGAATTCATACCAGCAAACTCCAACAATGGTTTTAGTTTGATACTTCTAACTCATTTCAAGTCTCTACTTTTTATTTCTCAACCACTGTCTTCATCTTGAAGTTTAGGCAGGCTTACTATTCCAGTCATTTGACACACAATTCATTCATTTTTTCTAGAACCTATGAATTTTTGTGAATGGTCTTTTATTATTGTTGTTTCTTGTTGTTCTTATTTGTTGATTTGTTTGCTTATTTTTGAATTCACTAAAAACCAGCATCATTATTGAGCTCAGCTTACTTTTAAATTCTTCAAAACCTCTCTTCTGTCTCAAGCCAGCTTTGAAATGTTCTCTATGTCTGTTCCTACTTCCTATAACTTTAAGAAGGGTGGGGGAAAAAACAGAAGACCTTAGATACCCAATAGTGTTTATAATCAACTAGACTATAGGTCTATTACTTAGGAGAACCTTATTCATTTCAGACAGACCTAAACTAATTGAACCAATCCAAGTGCTGTGCAGTTTAAGACAGGGCGAGAGATCTGGGTTATAGTGTGGGGCATTTGCTTTCTTTCTCTTCTGGGGGGAAACAAATAAACAAACAAAAAACCTGTAGTAAATAATTTCTTTTTCTGTAAATGTACTTTAAGAAACATCTTTATTGAGATATAATACATATATTATAAAATTCACCCCAAATATCTTCTCATTCACAAGCGTATGCCTTCTCTTATAGATATAAAACTTTACATACTCCCATGAATCTTCCACAGCTCTATAGAAATACTTGCCCCACCTCATTGACTTTAACAGTCTTCTACCTTAAGTAAAGAAGTCAGCATTTTTAGACTTCTGTGTATTTCATTTTGTTTCCATCCTTCAGTCACACCCACCCAATAACACTTACTTGTCCTGTGTATCCAGCTGTCATCTTCACCATCACATAAATCTGAGATGGCCATGATGGCATATGGCTAACATGGTAACTGAGCTAGAAGACTTTCTATATACATAGTATTAATTAAATATTTGGCAAATTACCAGTAAAAAGTAAAAAATTGAGTCTAATCCAATTCAAATAGAAACATTTGGGAAAACTCTCACAGCTTTTGACTGAGATGAAGATAAAAGTAGGCAAATATGTTTAGTGAACAAATTTAAAAACTGACTCATCCATAGGCAAGAGTTAAGGAATCAAAACTGTTTTATTCTCAATTAAGAAAAAAGTCTTACATGGTACGTTGATTATAGCACATGAAAAGTAAACTTCATTTTATAAAAAAACCTGTTCACATTAAAAAATATATATTATTGTGATCTGGGTGAGTTTATTGAGCAAATTCACTTTCCATACAGCAGCTCACATACACTTTGTCTCATGACATTGAGAGCAATTTCCCACAATGCAACAGCTCCCCTCTCACTTCCTCCCCATACTTACCCACCCCCATGTCCTTCCCTCATATGCACTCCTGCCCCCCACCAAGATGTCTCCCTGTGCATACACAGCCCTTCTATTCTCACATGATTGATCTCTCCAAGAAGTGTATCTACCTAATGTAAATGTTCAGCTCATATGCCTGTCTTTTTGTTCGACTGGAAGCCACAGAAATAGGTTCAATTCCAGACCTGAAGGGCAGCTAGGGATCATGGTTTCAGTAGTTCTACCAGGGCCTATTGGACCAGCAAATCTGATCCTTACTGTTTTTTCAACGATTTTGAGTTTTGTTCCACATTGTTCTCCCACTCTGTCCAGAATCTTCTACATCCCCTCCTAGTGGTTGACAGTGGTAGCTGGGCACTATACAGATCTTCTGGTTTCATAGTCATATAGGCTGAGGTTTGCATGGTGTACCAGTTGCTTCCGTTAATTGTTTTCATGTCCTTTGATTTTTTTCATTCTTCTCTGTTCTGGGCAAGGAGAGGCACATCATTCCATTTAGATGGCCGCTTGCAAGCTTATAAGATCCCAGTTGCTACTTGCCAAAGTAGGATGTGAAATAAGGTTTTTGTGTAGTATGTTATGCCAATTGAGCTTGATGTCCTCTGTGACCATGGTCCCAAGCCCACAGGTCCAACTACTCACTCCCTCTAGGTAGCTGGCTGTGGCCAAGAAGTAATCATAAACTTGTCCCTTGTCAGCTCTAATATATACCTGGGAATTTTAACAGAACATACAAATACACTTGTAGAAACATTGTCTGCCAACCCTATACATGGTCATGGGCACACTCTGCCCTGCATTGTTGTTATGTGCTGTCAAGTGGTCTCTGATCATAGCGACCTTATGTACAATAGAATGAAACACTGCCCAGTCCTGTGCCAGCCTCACTATCCCTACTATACCTGAGCCCATTGCTGCAGCCACCATGTCCATTCATCTCATTGAGGACCTTCCCCTCTTTCATTGACCCTCCACTTTACCAAGCATGACATCCTTCTCCAGAAAATGGTCCCTTCTGACAACATGACCAAAGTAGGTGAGATGAAGTCTGGCCATTCTCACTTCCAAGGAGCATTCCGGCTACTCTTCTTCCAGGACAGATCTGTTAGTCCTTTTAGCAGTCTATGGTACTTTCCACATTCTTTGCCAATACCACAACTCAAAAGCATCAGCTCTTCTTCTGTTTTTCTTATTCATTGTCCAGCTCTCACATGCATACGAGGCAATTGAAAATACCATGGCTTGGGTTAGGCGCATACTAGTTTTCAAGGAGATATCTTTGCTCTTCAGGGCTTGAAAGAGGTCTTTTGCAGTAGATTTCCCCAATCGAATATGTCTTTTGATGTCTTGACTGCTATTTCCATTGGCATTGATCATAGAACCAAGTAATATGAAGTCTGTGACAACTTCAATCTTTTCTCCATCTATCATGATGCTGCTTATTGGTCCAGTTGTGAGGATTTTTGTTTTCTTTATGTTGAGGTGTAATCTATATTGCAGACTGTAGTCTTTAATTTTCACCTGTAAGTGCTCTAAGTCATCCTCACTTTCAGCAAGCAAAGTTGTGTCATCTGTGTATTGCAGACTATTAATGAGCCTTCTTTCAATCCTGATGCCACGTTCTTCTTCATACAGTCCAGCTTCTCAGACTATTTGCTCAGCATATAGATTGAATAAGTATGGTGAAAGGATAC